GGTGGAAGCCAGATTTGCAAAGCAGGCAAAGTTACAAAAGCAAAAGTGTTAAGAGCATGGGTGCCAGGGGGAGGTCCGGGGTACAGATCCAATTAATGGGTCGCACGGGGGTGGTGGTGCCAGAAGGGATCCTCGCCTAAGCTGGGGCCGGCCCTGTGAGAAAAGGTTGTGGTTTTGGAAAAAACGCCAATCATCCTGCAAATGAAGTCCTTCCACAACCCTCTCAATACGAAGGAGATCCTTACCCACACTCTCCAGCCTATAATAAACTTTCCAAGGAAATAAAATCTCCTGGAATACACGTAGCATTAGCAGGTGATTACTCCAGGTCACTTGAACATCAGGAAGGAGCAGTATATGAGGAGGTCCAATAAAGTTATTTCATTTTCACAATGCAGGTCCAGGAACAACAAATCCCTTGCTACAGAAATCACAGAAGTGGAACAAAATTTACTACACTGGCCTGCATTTTCTTCCTTAGCTCCCTCACTAACTTCCTCCTTAGAAACTGATTTTATGGAGGTGGAACGGAACCTTCCACACCAGATGCCACCCCTTCCTCTCCCAATGTCTTCATCTCAGTCATCCTCCACCCTATCCTCTGGGAAGAACGTCCCCCCCACACACAGTTTTGGGGACAAACAAGGAACAGCATCTGCTATCTCAGGGAAGTCATTGGAAGAGATCCCAGAAATAACAACCCAAGTTGAAATACATATCCCCCCTCTAGAGATGGAGAATCATCCACCATGCAGAAATGAGGAAACTAATCAATTAAACAAAGAACAAACAACACAGGATGCCTATGGTGACATAGCTAATGGCTGTATATCATGTGTCCAGATGTAGCTGTAATAGATTCAAATGAACTCATCTCCAGTTATGTGAAATCTAGGGCATTGTGGGAAATGCACTTTTAAAAATTATCATTACCTTACTTCCAGGGTCTTCTGTTGGGCACAAGTGAGAAATGAAATTAATTCCCTTCACCTCCTGTTGTCTTCCTTGTTTTTCTTGTTCTTCACAAATTTGGGGCAAACTCAGGGTCTAACTATATAACACTTTTCCTGGATGTTCCCTGGTTGGTTTGACCAGCATGGTCCGGGAGTTCCATTTTAGGGTAGGGGCTGTGGCTCAGTGGTAGAGTATCTGCTTGTCGTGCAGAAGGTTCCAGGTTCAATCCCCGATATCTCCAGTTAAAAGATCTAGCAGTAGGTGATGTGAAAGACCTCTGCCTGAGACCCTGGAGAGCCGCTGCCAGTCTGAGTAGACAGTACTGATTTTGATGGACCAAGGGTCTGATTCAGCATAAGGCAATTTCATGTGTTCATGCTACCCAAGCCCCCAGTGGCCTGATTCAGATTGGAACTGTAGTGCACAGGAAGAAGAAGCTTTAGACCTTCTTCTCTGCTGTTTCCCACAACCTTGGCAGCACTAGAGAGCTCTTTTTTGCTCTATTGGGGAAGCTTAGCATTTAGCTGTGAGGCAATTAGTGGCTCTCTGGCATTACTCCAGGTCAGGAAAATAGTGGAAGGGAGCTCCAAGCTCCCTCGCCTCATGTGCTGCTGTCCTGATCTGAATCAGGCCCATGCATGAGTGGGAAACATAAAACTCTCATACCATAATGTTGACCTGATGCAGGAAGGTATCCAGGAATTTATGACATCAGCATAAAGGAGATCTGTGAGAAAAATGGACTATACATTGCTGGGTGGAAAAAGCAGATAATTTCTAAGAAAGAGAAAGCAGCCAGAAGGTATGTTATGACAGAACAAATGGAATGTTGGTAAGAATTGTTGTAGTAAGGAATAAAATTTGGTAATAGCAGTATGGATCCAACCATCCTTCTAGCATTTCAAAGGCTTCCTCCAACTCAAGTGGCTTTTCCATTGGAGGCAGTGGTTGGTTATGTGTTGTCTTCTGCTTCTTGACAATCTGGAAGTTTTGGTATGTGGATCTTGCTTTTACAATTTTGTAAATGCTATACTTTTTTTACTCATAAATGAATCCCACCAATTTCAGTGGGAATTACTCACAAATAAGGATGCTGAGGAGCAGAGTGATAAATCAATAAACTTTACATTCAGTGGTTCCTTCAAATGGTATATTGTATTTAATTAATACAGCTATAGCTCTGTGTGTGTGTGTGTGTGTGTGTGTAAATATTAAAGGATGTATGAGAGAGAGAGAGAGATTTTAAATAATGAATAAACATGTTTTTTATCTGTAGGAATTTTTAATATAAATTGGGTACAGTGGCCCCTTTAAGGAAACATTGCTGTTGCACTTATTTAATTTTGATGGATGAACCCCTGCCAGTAATTCAACTCATGAACTCTCAGCATGAGTTTGTCTAGAGTAAAGTTGTTTCATCAGTCACATCTGTAGAATTGTATCAACAACATTAGCAGAACTTCATCTGTCAGTATTCCATCTGCATTTTTTTCAAAACATTTTTTAAGCATGAACTCTGTTTTCAGGAATTATTTGTGTTATCACTAATGGAAAAAGTCAACATCCAAAATTAATTTTTCTTCATTTTTTCTGTGTAAATAATTTCCTTTCTCAGAGCTGAGCCCAACCTCATTTTTTTCATGTGCATGTTCAAGATCATAGCTAAGCACTCCTGCAGAGTGAAAACTTTGTCATAATCAGTCTAAGATGGTTGGGAATTCCTGCCCTTAACCTTTCCACCATTGTCCTAAATGTGACACTTGAATTGTAAAGAATTTTTTTACTAAGTTAAACTGAAACTGGTGATGGTCTTAGAAAAATATTCCAATAACATTGCAATGTGTAGCTATTAAAACGTCTCAATAATTTCCGTGTCTCTGGTGATTAGGCACCCATTTCCTGTCAATATGCTTTTGATATACAACCACCTTGTAGAACATGCAGAGTACGTCAGTATAACAACCTTGTAGGGGAGAAAAGTGGGTGTTGGGTAAATGAAGGAAAGAATGTAAAGTAATGGATTCTTCACCTTACTTACTCAGCCGGCAGCTTCATATTTCCTAGGATTTAGTTCTCCTCATTTGGAAAAAGAGAGAGTTCACTGCTCTTCCACATACATTTCCAAAGCCTGCCCCCCCACCACACACACATACCATGTGTTAAGATGCTGCTCCAAAATCATCCAAGGCTAATTCCAAGAGGTAAAGGACTGCTGATGTCTCACACTGCTGAATCTGTGCAGAGTTTCTGCTGCACCTGCATCCAAGTTAGCAGAAACTGACAGCAATCCTACAGGCTGTTTCCATGGAGTAAGCCCCACTGAAGAACATGAAACTTTCTTTTGAATGGACCTGCTTAGGACTGCTTGCACTGTCTTGGACTAGAATGCAGTCCTTAATTTGAAGGCTGATATCTGAGATAACTGCCTTGAAGGGAAGAAAGTTTAAATGTCTCTCTCTCTCCTCTTCCTACTTATCTTCTACCTAGTTTCTACCAATCTCTTCTTCCTACTTCTGATCTGCTTGATGTGGCCAAGGATGATAGTTTAAGGGATAGAACAAAGTCTGAGTCCAGTGGCACCTTTTAAGACCAACAAAGTTTTATTCAAACTATAACCTTTAATGTACAAGCACACTTTGTCAGACAAAATGAAATTAATCTCCTCAAGCCACACTTATAGGAAAAAGAGGGTGAGGGGCAGCCATTAGGAAGAGCCAGTCACAGCCAAGGTGCATAAGTATGACTGAAATTGGATCAGGTGGCCTATAAGAATCAATGAATGGCAGCAAATTAGCACATAAATTCAAGGGTCAACAAAGAGATGCGAGAATGAACCTAGAGTCCAGCAGCGCAGCCAAGACAAATCAGGCTCAACCCTGGGTACATATGAGAACCTAGTAAGTCTTGTACTCTTCTACAGAAGTAAGATGAGTTTTCATGTTGAAAGAGGAAAGTAGGGGAAAAGGCTTGTGGGAAGAAGGTAGGAAAGGGGTTGTAATTTGTTGTGCTTTGTAGTTCAGAAACTAGCCATAAAGACTAAATATGGCCCCGGTCACACGGAGCATTAGCCACACTACAGGGACGGAAGATAGGCAGATTTTCTGGACGCGATCTCACCGCCACATCTGGGAAGCATAGAGCTCCCGTGACTCACCCGAGGCTTTCCGCCGAAGACGCGTGGTAAAAAACTAGTACCTCGGAGGTACTAATTTCCAGAAAACGTGGGGCAAGGGCGGGCGTCTGATCGTGGTTCCGGTGGTAGTTCCAGCGCCCGCCCATGTCCCCTAGCAAAAAGGGTTTCTTTCCCCAAGTCTCCACGGATGCGCACAAGCACCCAACGGAGCATGCGCACACTTTAGTTTTAAAAAAAAACACACACAGCTGAGCAGCTCGCTAAGACTTGAGTCGTGCAGAGAAGAGGAGAGCAGCCAGAAGAAACGTAACACAGAGCGCATGGCTTGAGGCGAGAGAGAAACAGATAGGGGGAAAGGGGGCAAGGCAGAAGAGAAAGCAGCTGAGGCGAAGCCCAGAAGGGGGGGCTGCGGCGGCAGAGTAGGAAGTCTGCTTGGGGAAGGGGGGGCCAAGCCGGGAAGAGGTGACTAGACACACGGGCGGCGGGAGGGGGTGTGTGCGCAGAGGCTGCGGGATCGGAGCCCCAGTGCCCAGGGAGCCGAAGAGCCAGGAGGGCGACACTCACCGTGGCCTCGAAGACAGACACTGGAGGAATACCCTTGGTGCGCGCACCCCGCTTCTTTGCCCCGCTTCTTTGCCCCGCTTCTTTGCCCCGCTTCTTTGCTGCGCCATGTGATCGGCACCTCCCCCTAACCACGGGACCTCCACAGGAGGTCTGATCGTGCAACGGCACATTATTTTGCCTCGGGGCAAACAGCCACGCTCCCTCCCCCGCATTTTCCGGCCCGTGTGACCGGGGCCTATATATGTTTTATGCACTTCTGCATAAGAGTTTAGTAATGTAAATACATATGGGGTAAATTGTTTTAGAGACTTCCTGAACAACTGTATGGGGCTTGTTTTTACTTTTTTAGGGCACTTGGTACCAACCCCTTGCATTGTGACTGCAGCCTGCGCTGGCTTTCAGAATGGGTAAAGGCGGGCTATAAAGAGCCAGGGATTGCACGGTGCAGCAGTCCAGATGACATGGCAGACAGGCTGTTGCTCACAACTCCAACTCACCGTTTCCAGTGCAAAGGTAGGTATAAACTCTTAGCACACAGTGTGTCTGCTATTTTACACCATGTTGCTGATGGTGAGCTCATTCCATATCATTGGACCCAAACAAGCATGGCTCATGGAGTGTATTGCTGTAGTGGTGGGTTTTCCCCCATATGAAGTCTGTGGGAGAACTCTGTGAAAGTGGAATGATGATAGTGCTGACACACTTGTAGGGATGTTAGCCTACAGATGGGACTGGGGATCCCCTGGAATTACCGCTCATCCCCAGACTACAGAGATCAGTTCCCTTAAAGAAAAAGGATGCATTGGAGGGTGGACCTTATGGCATTGTACCCACTGAGGTTCCTGTCCTCCCCAGGCTCCATCCCCAAATGTCCAGGAGTTTCACAACCTGGATCCAGTAACCTAGCCCCCCCCCCCCATCTCCTACTGGTTGCCGGGGGGATCTGGCAACCCTAGTCTTTGGTGTAACTGCACCTTTTCTGTCTATAGAATGAACTTTCCTGTCATGTTTGGAAACCATAAGACACAGTATATCATTTCAGTTGCCTTAGTACACATCCATTTCTTATATTTTAATTGTTTAACAAAGCTGCTCTGTCTGTTTTAACCAGTTGTATGTGCTGCCTGTTGTCTTCTGCTTAATTGACCTGAGAAAAATGCTTGCTCCTCTGGCAAAGGAAAAAAAGTCCTTTCAGATAGCATTTCTTCACTTTTAATAGCATTTGTCATTGAAGAATCCTTCCATGTTTTCTGCATAAGGAATAGCTCCTTTGATTTGTGGCCTTGGGTTACAAGTTTTCAGCTCTGACATAAGTATTTCATGGAGTTTACACACATTTTCTAGAGGTTCAGGAAAGTATTTCAGAAAGTATCTGCTCTTTGCAACAGGCGGAGTCATTGATCCAAAACACCAAGGAGAGTAGCTTTCTGAAGCTACACTAGACCTGCCCTGTCTGCGGTGAAAGCAACAAGGTACAGGGTCATTCCTTTTGGGGCTTCTGAAGATGTTAATATTTTTTGTTCTGTGGAGTGTTTTCTTTATTACTCCACTTAGTTTAGGAATGGTGGTTATAGCACAACCACCTGAGGGCCAGATGTCCATTTCAGAATCTTCAGCCAATCTGTTCAGCTGTGGAGCTTATCTTCATGACCAAAAGGCTGCGGGCAGATGGACAGGAAGGAAGCCAGTGAGAACATCCATTTGGATCTCAAGGTAAAAAGGTCAGCACTCTTAGCCTTTGAGCAGTTAGAAAGAAAGGGTATCATCATTGCAGGGACATTATCTCAGCAGAGCCTACCTAAATTGCCACTCTGTGCATTGCAATGTTTTTTTGTGTGTGTGTTCTTTGATGAGCATAGAACATGGTCTCAGACTTCTAGAGCTACAAAATAGGTGTGAAGATCTCATCCCCTCCCCTGGCATGGAAGCACAGTACACATGCTCCAGTGGGAAGAGTTATAGCTCTCCCACTCCATTCCTTTTCGTCCACCAGAGAGTAAACACCTTTGGGAACTTCTTTGAAGAAGCCCTTCCATTGAGTGGAACATCATCATCAGTCTATAAAAGCAGAGCACATGGCAGACTTATAAAACAAAATAGGTTATTGACTCAGCAAGACAATAGTAGATCTCATAGAGTGGAAGATTCATCTGGAGACCTTCACTTTTCTATGTTGGTATTATGTTCAGGCTACAGTTGACCACTTTTGAGAAAAGGGTGGACTCTGTGTCTTTATACCCTGCTGAGATGACTCCCTATGACAGCAGTCAGGGCTTCAGAGCACAGTAGAGGCTGCAGGGAGGGGTAAGACAGAAAGCTGAAGAGTGAGGGGCAGATAATGGCAGGCTGATGCTTGGTTGGGAAGGCGATAGAGTTCCCTACTCCAGGTGGGAAATTCCTGGAGATTTGAGGGATGGAGCCTGGAGAGGGTGAGGCTTGAGGAGAGGTGGAACCTCAGACAGGTAGAATGCCATAGACTCCACCCTCCCAACCAACCATTCCCTCCTGGGGAACCATTGAAAATGGTGGACTCGGTGTCATTATACCCTGCTGAGGTCGCCACAGCAAATTGATGCTGAGTGCCCAAGGCTGGGGCACTCTCCCAGAGCCTCTTTCTAGAGCTCGTTGTATTTATTTCCACAACGGCCCTTATTCCTAGTATGATCTATAATTACACTTGGAAGGTTTTCTCTGGGTGATGTACAGGCAAATATATCCCATTTGATTCCAGTGGCCACTTTTCTAGAATTTCTGCAGAAGAGAATCAATAAAGATCTCAGTACTAATAGAGTGAAACATTAAGCACCCCTCTTGTTAAATATTTTAAGCTAGGTTAGCCGCAAGCTACTGACCCAGGATGAACATGTCTGGATATTTTGTGAAGGGGATTTCATTTATCCTCCAGCTGTGCACAAGTGATAGGATCTCAAAATAGTCTTACTGGCTTTCACTTGTCCATCTTTGAGCTGTTATCCACTTGCTCCCATAAGGAATTGTCTCTTGAGACAGCTTTCCTTGGACCAAAATACATGGTATAGCAAAAACAGCATGGAGAGGCACCTGAAAACCCTTCTCCCTTTGCAGCTCCTGAACCAAATGAAGCTGGAAAACTTTGAAGGTGGGTTCCCCCGATCATACATGTGACTACAAGTTAGGTTGGGCACCCATGTCCCAACTCACATCACCAGTATTCTGTATTTGGGCCCCTTGTTGGAGTCCTTTCAGTACACACTGTGCACAAGGTTTCAGAGCTGAACACTCCATCATTTCATAAGAAGCTATGTATTTTTCATAATGGTAGGGTTGGGCATATGTATTCCCAAGAAGAATTCTATTTTCATAGATCTCAGGACCTGACTCTGCCATCCTTCTGCCCTAATCTGTTTTACCAGAGGGATGATGGCATTCATTACACAGTCACTTAGTAGAAACTAACAGAGATAGGACTAGGAAGTTCTGTAAATCTTTGTCTTTCTTCATGTCATTCAAGAAATCTTCAGTGAGACCTTACAGTCTCCTGTTCTGCCATAAGATATTGGTTTAGGAACTGAATTTGTACAGCAAATATATCCAAAGCAAGGTTGTACCTGATGGCATAACGGTTAACTCTCTTACAGAGGTGGCTACCTCTACTGTCCACTGAGACTGCCTACCAGTAGAAACAATGTGTAAAGTGGAAACTGGGAAGTCAAGTACATATATTTGTCGAATGACATAAAGTGGATGTGTATAGCTCAGCTTTTGGCTGGAGGATTTTGCTGAATATCCTTCTTGAATAGAGGACCCACCCCTTTTGGGATATATGGGTTTTTGGCATCCTCAGAATTAAGACTGTCCCGCCACTGAACCTGACACTTGACATGAATTTTCATTTGCAAAGGTTCTGAGGTGGGCTACTCTACCCACCTAAGGTTGCATTTTGTTTGTATTTACAAGGCATTTCTGACTATGAAAGCAGGGGATTTCAGCATTTGGAGAGCCAGCATGGAACTGCCGGCCTAGGCAGCTCATGTCCAGTGGGATGTCTTTCTGTGCTATCCAGCTCAAATTTTCAATGTTATTCTTGTTCTTGAGTATAGTTTTATGTAATTTATATAGGCTTCTTAGAGTTCTTGATTTTAAAATCAGTTAGCAGGGTGGTTTTTTTAAGTCACAGGCTTGGTCTGGATGATTTTGGAAAGCCGCTCCCCTTGGTGTTTTTGGGTCAGTGACTCTAGCAGTCACTGGAAGGTACTTTCTGAGGATCAACACTATTCCACCATAGTATCTCTGAGAATGGAGATCCATAGTCAGTGCCCTTTTTTTCTTTTTCCTTCTCTGAATTTTATGTAATGACATTTATGAGTGAGGCCCTCTTCTTGTATGTGGAAAAATATGTGGAGTCTGCATGAGAGTGTGTGTTTTTCACTGTCTGACACCATTTTAAAAATTAAAGCTGCTGAGTTCCCTAACCTTTCTTTGGCATTTTCCACACAGGGACCAGCTAGTGTACTTCCCAGTTGCAGCTATGGCTGCTGATACAGTACAGCAGCAACAGAGTTTTCACACAGCAGGTTTCCCTGGTAGTTTTTAAAAAATTGGTGATTCAGTAGCACTATATCTATATACTGCCACTATACTAAAATGTGCATCAGATTCTGTGAGTTCCCAGCTTTCATTTTTAAAAAAGTTAGTCTGTAGCCCATTTTATTGTGAAGATATGCTTTTTTCCCGTATATTTCCCACGAAAAGGAGTTAAAGACTTATTTTTGAAAAAATGAAAGCTGGGGATTCAGAGAACCTAATGCATATTTTGGTATAGCAGTATATTGATGTAACTCTTAAATTGCCAATAGAAGAAAAGCTCACTACAAGATAGAGAGGAAATGCTACTGTGGAGAAAATGGCTGCTGTGTTGCTAGAACCAGGAAAATCTGAACTTTTCCACCCACGAGCAAGCCACCCAGGCTTTGACTAATCTTTCTGAAAACTTCAGAGCAAAGCAAGTTTGAGGAAAAATTGGAGAAAAGCTAAGGAAACCTTGGGAGGTATGTGAACACTCCATGATGTTGAGGGGTAGTAGGGGGAGGAAATTCCCCACAGCATTAAACCTGCGGTAAATGACCCATGCGGATAAACCCTTTTGTTGTTCAGTCACACAGTCGAGTCCGACTCTTCGTGACCCCAAGGACCAGATCATGCCAGGCCTTCCTGTCTTCTGCCGTCCTCTGAAGTTTGCTCAACTTCATGTTCGTTGCATCTATGACACTGTCTAACCATCTCATCCTTTGCCGTCCCTGTCTTCTTTGACCTTCAATCTTTCCCAGCATCAGGGTCTTCTCCAGTGAGTGCTCCCTTCTCATTTGGTGGCCAAAGTATTTGAGCTTCAGTTTCATTATCTGGCCTTCCAGGGAACAGTCAGGCTTGATTTCTTTTAGGATTGACTGATTTGATCTTCTTGCAGTCCAAGGGACTCTCATGAGTCTTCTCCAGCACCATAGTTCAAAAGAATTTATTATTTGGCGCTCGGCCTTCCTTATAATCCAACTCTCACAGCCATACATGACTACTGGGAATACCATTGCTTTGACCATGCGGACTTTTGTTGGCAGGGTGATGTCTCTACTTTTTATCATGCTGTTTAGGTTCGCCATAGCTTTCCTCCCAAGGAGCAGGCGTCTTTTAATTTCATGGCTGGTGTCACAGTCTGCGGTGATCTGGGATCCCAGGAACGTGAAGTCTGTCACTACTTCCACGACTTCCCCTTCTATTTGCCAAGGAGTGATGGGGCCGGATGCCATGATCTTAATTTTTTTGATGTTGGGCTTCAAGCCCACTTTTGCGCTCTCCTCTTTTACCCAGAGCAAGAGGCTCTTTAGGTCCTCTTCACTTTCTGCCATTAGAGTGGTATTGTCTGCATATCTGAGGTTGTTGATCTTTTCCCTAGCAATCGTAATTCCCGTAGGGAAAAAATGTAGGGATACACCCTACATGTAGGCTTTCTCAACCCCACCCCTGGCTTGCAGATAGACACAATAGGACTGTAATTGTGCCAGTGAACAAACTTCTGCCTTTCAGATAGTTCGCTCAGACAAAAAATATAATTTCCAAATAATTCTTTATGATTGAGGCCCCCTTCTGAATGTGGAAAAATGTGTGGGGTCTCTCTCTCTGTGTGTGTGCAGTTGTTTTAATTTGTTTGTATGTTTTTAATCACTGTTTACATTTTTGGCCTATTTTTACTGCCTAAGGGAGTTAAAGAAAAAAATGTTGCGTGTTGTAAAGGAACAGCTCATCATCTATAAATAGGAAACATGATACTCGAAACAGTGTATTGGAAAATAAAGTTGCATAAATGTCAAACAATGACAAGCTATATTGTGCTCAGACATAGAGTTGCTTCTGGTCTTTCTTTCTTGTCACCCTGGACCCCTGCCTGTCACTTATACTATATTGTCATTGCCCTGCAAGGAGCACAGAGGCCCATTCCCTTCTCTCTTTCCCCTGCAGAGGAAAACATACAGTCAACAGGACTCTGTACTGTGGTTCAGTTTTTATGGCTCACGTTGCTAAACCTGCTATTTATTTATCATGTTAAAGTTCCAGCTGACTCAAAAGAATAGACCTCTTCTTGTTTCATTCTGCTGTGCACAACTATGTGCTTTGCTAATGGGATCAATTAACGTTTTTAGTGAAATCTGCCTGTTGGACTGATGGCCCTCTGTCTTCTTTGCTGCAAGCAATTAACATAGTGAAAATTAGGAATGAAGGAACATTTCTGACTGTGCATCTCAGATGAAGAGGGATTCATACTGCTAGTTCACATGATGATTCTACGATTAATCTATCGCACTCTTTTCGTTTGGGAAGTCTGAACATTCCCTTCTGGTTTGGGGCTCTTTTTTTTTAGGTGGGCATAACTGTATATTCGCACCATGGCTATGAAGTGCCGCATGTGCATTTATTTTTTACAGACAGTTTACGGGCATATCTCTCTCTCTCTCTCTCTCTCTCTCACACACACACACACACAAACACACAGAGGAGCTTCTCAAAACTGTTTTCCTTTAAAAAAACTTCCAAAGCACAGTTTCAAAAACACTTCCCCCACACTGCACTACATATCCCAGCAGCCTCCTCCAACAATCCCATTGGCCACCAGCCGCTGCCATCCTGCCAGGAGTCTGAAGTACTACTTCCAGTACATACTTCTGTGCATGCTCAAAAGACAAATAATTTTTAAAAGCTGCCTGATCGCCCTACTGCATGGCTGCCATGTCTGATCAACCATGGGGTGAGCACGTGGTGAAGCGGGTTAAGGATAAAATGTCTGATCAAAACTCTCAACTATGAAAGAACCTGGATTAATTAGAGGCAGGGCCAGACCATGCTAAGCCTGTCGTCTGACTAAAGTCTATCATTTGATCATTGCAATCATTACTTGAATAGTATGGTATGATGACTCTCTTCTAAGAAACCCTTCTTTGTAGTAAACAAACTTCTGCAGAAGAGGATTTGTTCTACAGTGCTTTCCTTAATTCATTTTTGATACAAATCACTAAATACCTACATCCAACATTATGAAGTAGAAGCTCTTCAGAGTTCCATCAGCAACATATATCTTCATGCCAGCAATGAATACAGATTACAGGGAAATAATCTTAAACTGTAGCAATATGTTTTTCAGCTATACTATTTTTCCTTTTCAGGGGCCGTTGATATCAACATTGTGTCAAAGTGTAACCCTTGCCTATCCAATCCATGTAAAAACAATGGGACTTGCAATAATGACCCAGTGGATTTTTACAGATGCACTTGTCCTTTTGGCTATAAGGTATGAGAACATCTGGACTATACTACTAAATTAAATGTTATAGCCTGTTGACTGTTTAAATATGTCACTTTAAGGGGGTGGGGTGGGGTGGGGAGAAAAAGGAGTAAGTTTATCGCAAACAGTCTGCACTGGTGTCTCACTGGTCCACAAAGCTGATAGGGAATAGTGAGAGACGTGCATTTACAACAGTTGATTTCTTGGGATAAGTGCAGACTAGGGGTGTGCAAAAAAAAAAGGTATTTTTCGGAGTTGGATATATTTTTCCCGAAATTTTTTGGGAAATCTGAAAAAAACTGAATGCTTATACCGGTATAGTATAGATATCCGAAAATTTTCGGGATTCCTGAAAAATTCAGGTCCATTATATCCAATGGGGCCATTGAACTCAATGGCAAGAATCTTCTGGAAAGTTTGGAAGGGGGTGGAGGTGGGGGTTTGAGGTAGAGGCTCCAAATTTGGACTGTAGCTGCTGGAGCCTCTCTCCAAAAGACTCCCAAAGATTTGAAAAGATTGGACCAGGGGGTCCAAGTCCAGGGGAATCCAAAGAGGGTGCTCCCAGTTCTCCATTGTTTCTTATGGGGAATTGGGGATGGGAAAAAGGCAGGCAGAATCTCTCTGTAAGAAAGTAAGTGAGGTGTGGTGGTGGTGTGAAGGGGCATGTTTGCCAGGCCAACAACAGAACCTGTGCAATGTGCCCCCCAGAACCAGTGCCACTGTGCCAGTCAGTGCCCAAACCCAACTGGACTCAGTTCAAACCAGAGAATCTCTGCAGCATATAAACTGGAGGGGGGGGCAGGCAGGACCTGTGCAAGTTAGTAATCACTAGAGTTGTGCAATTCAGCCCGACAAAGAGACATTCATGTCAGATCTCTGCGGCTAGAATCATAGAATTGTAGAGTTGGAAGGGATCTCCAGGGTCATCTAGTCCAACACCCTGAACAATGCAGGATATTCACAAATACCTCCCCCTCCACACCCCCAGTGACCCCTGTTCCACACCCAGAAGATGATTAGCCTGTTTTGGAAATCCAAAGGTGCCCACTGCCCACAGGCTCAAAAAGATTTGGGACCCTGCCCTGTTGATTTGCCCAAACCATGGCTTGATGTGAATGCAGCCCACTTTGTCAGATGCATGCAGTGACACCTCTAGCTAGCACAGACTGTGTGTGACTGCATGCTTCCGGCAAAGCAAGCAGCCTCTGTCTCATCATGTCAGCTTACCTCAAAATACATTTGTCTCTCTGATGTGCCCCAAGACTCTTCTTTGTTAACCTGTGTGAAAGACGACCACCACAAGAAGCCCTGCCCACTAATGCCTCAGAAAGTGAGAGGGAGGGGGTCCACTGACACTATCTGTCCACTGATCCTCCTCTCTTGCAGCAGTACACCAACACCAGCCATCACTGCCTGCCTCAGTGGAGGAGGCTTAGCCTAGGTGTGGCAGCTGCCATTCATCACAGGCTCTCCCTCCCTTATCCCACCTCACCCCTGCAAAAAAAGTTATTTTTCAGTACACACAACTAGTGTTCTCTCTAAGCAGAGTTAGTGTGTGCTAGCTCAGTTTTTTAGCCTCTAGCTCACAAATTTTTGTCTTAGCTCAGGAAGGATGGCTCCAGAGCAAACTAATTTATGCAGCAGCCAAATCGCTCACTCCAGTAGCTCACAAAGTAGAATTTTAGCTCACAAGACTCCACAGCTTAGAGGGAGCATCGCACACAACATACATTTACATGTATTATTTATGGTGCTCCTGTGGGTGCAGCTGGTTTCTGGCTGCTTGGCATCTACCCTATTCTACCTTGTTCAAATGGAGAACAATTTTTGTGATGCTGTTTCAATTTCAGCATGCAATTTTGTTTTGAGGTGGCTGGCAGTGTAACTTAGGTGCATGGACGCACCACCCTCAACATCACCCTGGCTACCAGGGTTCTGTGGAGGTATTTCTGCTGCAGGTGGGATGGATGGAAGTGGGGAGATTGGTGGGGCATTTCTGTGCCAATCAAAATGGTAATGTCCCTGGCTGCTACTTCTCCTTAGCCTCTCTAGTTTTAATCATGGGAAGAGTGTAAAGTACTAGGTTCACCGCATGGAGGACTCGGACGACGACATGCTTTTGCACACGTTAATTGTACTTCACTCCAACTAAGATTAACTCTAACGGCCCAACAGGGCCAACTATATACATATCCACCCAGCACCCCTATTCCCATTGGAGGGTTTGAATAGCCAAAGTGGCTATTGGTTGGGGCTGGGGGAAACCAGGATCCAAAGTTTCAATTCAATTTATTACAGGTCTTTATGACCGAAGTCTTGACCAAGAGGATACCAAAGGGGGGTAAAATAGGTACATAAAATAGACATAAATATGTCAAGGTACATAATAACAGTCACATAAAACCCAGGCTGAGCCCAGAGATTAAAAATTACCTAACTACACTTGGGGCGGAGCCAACTAACTAAAATCATCCGAAGATTAAAAATCGGTGTCGAAGTTTTCAGAAGTGCTGGACTTTTCAATGCTTCTTGAGAGCAGCCACCTTAGCCAAGAACCGCGCCACGTTAGCTGTTATCAGTCCATCGGCATTTGAGTCAGATAACAGTACTGAGAGCACCCAAGGTTGCGCGGGAAGATTCATCTTCGTGAGAATAGGAGAGATATAAGTGCCTCTAACTTGAGTCCAGTGGGGACAAATCCAAAGTTTCCTTTGTTCCAGGAGCCAAGCTCCTGCATGTGCCGCAGACCCCTGGTGGCAGTCCATGTACATAACAAAGAGTGTTATGTAACCCAACTTCCCAGCACAGACTGAGAGGGGATTGCAGGCACAAGTATGCATGCTCACTTCAATCACCCTCAAAGTCTAGGACTGGGAAACCGAACAGTAGCAAGTTGACCTTCAGGAAGACCAACTGCTCAACTGTCCAGGGGAGCAGGTGTGAGTGATGCGAGCAATGTCGCCCACGTGGGAAAAAACGTGCTCACAATGCATGCTCGTTGGAGGGCATGAGAGGAGCTTCTGGGCCATGGCAGAGAGGTCCGGCCAGACCGCCTCCTTCATGGCCCAGTAACTCAGTGGACATGTCACCCGATGAGTTCCATCTCAACACTTGTCGTGGTGGGAATCTCAGGGGTGACGCTGCATAGCGCGGGGTGGGGAATGAAGAGCAGTGAAGCTGCTGACACCCCCCTCTCCCTCAGCATGTGACAACGTGGCCCTCTTGGCCCACATGCACTCAATTCGCTGGGAGAGCTCATCTTGCCATTGAGTGAACTTGTTGGCCTGCTCGGCGATCCTGCCCTTGATGCGCGGGTCACACATGGTCACCATCATGTAGACCTTCTGCCAGAGGATAAACTGAAAGCTCTTCTCGAGTCCACTTTACAGCCTTCTCACCAGCACGCACACCACTGGAACCATGTCTGCACGTCCTGCAGCTGGCTCCAGAAATGAGGCCAAGTCAGGGTGCTCTCCTGCTCCACCAAGCGTTCAAGCTTGACTCAGGTGGAGTTCCAGCGAGTGGGAACACCGCCTAGCAGGTAGTGCTCCGGCACACCTACAGGCGCCTGCTTCTCATGCAGCAGATAGAGGTCCTTCGTACTGCGAGATAAGTGACTCACGATGTGCCGGCATTTCTGAAGGAGATGCCGGAAACCACGAGTCATAGCATCCAGATTGGGCTTCTCCGCAGAACCCAACCCCAGAGCATCCTTCATCACGAGGTGAAGAAGGTGGGCCACACAGTAAAGGCACACCAGGCCCAGTTGCCCTGCCACTGCCCTAAGGTTCTGACCACCATCGGTCACCATTATTTATTTATTTGTTTATTTATTTGAGATTTATATCCTGCCCTTCCAAGCGGCTCAGGGCAGCTAACGCCGGATTAAATAGATAAAATACAATAAAACAATATTACACATCCACAATAAAATTCATAACAGTATTTAAGGTGCTCTATTATCCTGTATATAAATCCCCAAGATGGACAGTAATCCCAAATCAACGGCCAGCTTTATTTAATAGCGAGGGCTCCAGCGGTGATGTTCTCCCCACTTCCGCCAGGCGACACATACCCCCCCCCATAATAGGGGTAGATGATGGAACAGTACCACAGTGGTGGAATAGTGGCGGCGGCAGCTCCTACTCAAAAGCCTGGTGGAAGAGCTCCGTCTTGGAGGCCCTGTGGAACTGTATAAGGTTTCGCAGGGCCTAGATCTCCTCTGGGACCTCATTCCACCAGGTAGGAGCCGCCACCGAAAACGCCCTGGCCTTAGTATGGGCAAACTTAACGTCTCGGGGGCCTGGAACTTCCAGGAGGTGGAAACTCCCTGATCATAGTGCTCTTGAGGAAACATACGGGAAGAGGCAGTCCCTTAGGTAAGCCGGACCCCAGCCATCCAGGGCTTTAAAGGTAAGAACCAGCACTTTGAAGCGAATCCGGTATGCTATCAGCAGCCAGTGCAGCGCTTGCAGCACCGCCCAGATGTGGTCTCGCCTAGAGAGGCCCATCAACAGCCTAGCTGCAGCATTCTGCACTAGCTTCAGCTTCTGGATTTGCGACAAAGGCAGCCCCAAGTAGAGAGTATTACAGTAGTCTAGCCTCGAGGTGACCGTAGCATGGATCACAGTGGCCAGGTCCTCACGGCTGAGGTAGGGGACCAACTGCCGAGCCAGCCGCAGATGGTAAAAGGCCGACTTAGCAGTGGCTGCCACCTGGGCCTCCATCGTTAACGAGGAGTCCAGAAGCACACCCAAACTCCTAACCTCCCGTGCAGGCACCAAAGGCACCCCGTCGAAGGCCGGGAGAGGGAGCCCCAGCCCCGGACCGGTCCGACTCAGGCCCAGGACCTCTGTCTTTGCCAGGTTTAATTTCAACTGACTCAGTCTGAGCCAACTAGCCACGGCTTGTAACGCCCGATAAAGGCCATCGGGACCAGAATCTGACTGGCCGCCCAACATCAGATAGAGCTGGGTATCATCAGCATATTGATGACACCCAAGCCC